GCTGCATCCGTTACATCTGCTGCTGCTGCTGCAGCATCAGCTGTCTTCCTAGATACACCAGCAGCAGCACCAGCACCACCACCTGCTGCTGCTGCTGCTGCTGCTGCTGCTGCTGCTGCTGCTGGGTCGAGAGACAGAGGCATGCAAGAAGCATCAACAAAAAGGAGACAATCAAAGAGGGGGACAGCTGTCTCCTCTCTACCTTTAAATAACTTTCTCCTGCAGCAATGCATGCATGCATGCATGCATGCAGCAGCAGCAGCAGCAGCAGCAGCAGCACACGCAGCAGCAACAGAAGCAACACAGACAGCAGCAGCAACAGAAGCAACAGCAATACAAACAGCAGCAGCAACAGAACAACACACACACACATACACACCAACACTATTAATTCAATCAGTAGCTGCTGCTGCAGCAGCAGCAGCAGCAGCAGCAGCAGCAGCAGCAGCAGTAGCAGCAGCTGCAGCAGCAGATGCTGCTGCTGCTCCAGCAGCTGCTGCTGCTCCAGCCGCACCAGCAGACAGATGTCGTGAAAACAGCAGCAGCAGAAGCAGCAACTGAAGCAGCAGCAGCAGCAGCTGAAGCAGCAGCAGCAGCATCGGCAGCAGCAGCAACAGCAGCAGCAGCAGCAGCAGGAGTATATTACCTGACAACGAAAGGGAGAGAAATTGAATGCCTAGAAGAAATGATGAGGGGATGGGGTTGCTTTAGTGCTGCTGCAGTTGCTGCTGCTGCTGCTGCTGCTTCTGCAGCTGCTGCTGCAGCAGGAGCAGCAGCAGCAGCAGCAGCAGCAGCAGCAGGAGCAGCAGCAAACCTCTCAAGGCCCCTCGGCATCCCGTCGGCTTCAAGGGTAGGGACCTCACCAGGGGGCCCCTGAGCAGCAGCAGCAGCAGCAGCAGCTGCTGCTGCTGCTGCTGCAGCAACCCCTCCTTCTTTGTACTTGTTCAGCAGCAGCTGCTGCTGCTGCTGCAGCTGCAGCAGGGGGGCCCCCAGGGGGGCCCCCAAGAAGAGATGTGCTGCCCATGCAGACTGCATGCAGACTCCCTTAAAATCAATGAAGCTGCGGAGACACCTGAACAGGCTACGCTTCGGAGCAGCAGCAGCAGCAGCTGCTGCTGCTGCTGCAGCAGGAGCAGCAGCAGCAGCAGGAGCAGCAGCAGCAGCAGCAGCTGCTGCGGGGTTTGGTTTTATAAATTTATATGGGGTTACGCTGAGGGCCCCCTTGGCGTCTATTCTTACAAACAACTGAGCTGCATCCTGCTGCTGCTGCTGCTGCTGCTGCTGCTGCTGCTGCTGCTGCTGCTGCAGCTGCTGCAGTGCAGCACCGACGAAGGGTAGCCGATCAAGGAGCGTCTCTGTTGCTGTTGCTGCTGCTGTTGCTGCTGCTGCTGCTGCTGCTGCTGCTGCAGCACGACAAGCAACCCCCAGCCGCTGTCTCATACACCGAGCCCTTGAAGGTGCATTTGCTGCTGCTGCTGCTGCTGCTTCTGGTGCTGCTGCTGCTGCTGCTGCTGCTGCTGGTGATGCTGCAGCAGGGGCCCCTAGGGGCCCCGCTATGGCCTCACGGACGCCTGCTGCTGCTGTTGCTGCTGCAGCAGCAACAGCAGCAGCAGTTAGGGGGACGGATACACCCAGCCCCGTGCTGAGGTGTACAGACACCTCAAATGGCTGCAGCAGAAATGCATGCATGCATGCATGCAAACATACACTCTATGCATGCAGCAGCAACAGCAGCAGCAACAGCAGCAGCAGCAACAGCAGCAGCAGCAACAGCAGCAGCAGCAACAGCAGCAGCAACAGCAGCAGCAGCAACAGCAGCAACAGAAGGAGCAGCAACAGCAGCGGCAGCAACAGCAGCAGCAGCAACAGCAGCAGCAACAGCAGCAAGGAGGATTTAGAGGGCCCACATGAGGGGCAATAGAACAACAAAGAGACAAAAAAGAAAAAGGAGACAGAAAAAGGAGACAGCAGAAAGGAGACAGCAGAAAGGAGACAGTAGAAAGGAGACAGAGAAAGGAGACAGAAATAAAGAAACAAAGAAAAAAGAAAGAAAAAAGAAAGAAAAAAGAAAGAGATAAAGAAAGGGGATAGAGAGAAATAAACAAATAGATTAATAAATAAAAAGAAAGACAGAAAGAAAGGAGACAAAAGGAGACAGAAAGAAAAAAGAAAGAAAGGAGACAAAAGGAGACAGAAAGAAATTAAAAAAAGAAAGAAGAAAGAGACAAAAGGAGACAGAAAAAAAGGAAAAACAAGAAAAAAAAGGAGACAGAAAAAAATAAAAAAAATAAAAATAAAAAAGGAGACAAAAGGAGACAGAAAAAAAGGAAAAAAAGAAAAAAAAGGAGACAGAAAAAAATAAAAAAAATAAAAATAAAAAAAGGAGACAAAAGGAGACAGTGTATATATCTTACAGTGCCTAAGAAGCGAGGGTCTGGCTGCTGTCTCCTTACTGCAGCAAAGGAGACAGTTGCTTTACCTATATCATGCCCCTGCTGCTGCTGCAGCTGCTGCTGCTGCTGCTGCTGCTGATGCAGCTGCTGCTGCTGCTGTTGCTGCTGGTGGATGTTTGCTGCTGTTTCTGCAGCAGAGAGAGAAGGGGGGCCCCCTGCTGCTGCAGCTGCTGCAGTGGGGGCCCCCAAGGTATAGGTAGAGGGGGGGGGCCCCCTAGATAGAGAAGGAGACAGAAGAGGTATTTGTCTCTTTGCTTGTATATCTATTGCTGCTTTTGTCTCCTTTCTGTCTCCTCCTGCTGCTGCAGCACCACCCAAAGGCAGCTGCAGCAACCAGCATATGCTCGTCTGTCTCCTCCCTATACAGGGGCCCCCAGGGGGCCCCCCAATAGAAGAAGAGGGGCCCCCAGGGGGCCCCCCAATAGAAGAGAGGGGGCCCCCAGGGGGGGCCCCCAAAGAAGAGGGGCCCCCCGGGGGGGCCCCCAAAGAAGAGGGGCCCCCAAGGGGGCCCCCAATAGAGGGGGGGCCCCCAGGGGGGCCCCCAAGAGAAGGGGGGGGGCCCCCAGGGGGCCCCTCAATGAGAGAGGTTCGCTCAGAGAGAGTAAAGGTTGAGACAGGAAGGCCCCTGTACACAACAAACCCTAAACCCTAAACCCTAAACCCTAGTAAACCCTTGTAAACCCTAGTAAACCCTGATAAACCCTAAAGCGTAGACTGTATAAAAACTATACACCCTCAGTACTCTCCCTCCTATTTCTAGGGTTTAGGGTTTAGGGTTTAGGGTTTAGGGTTTGTATGGTCAACATACAAGGGTTTCCTTAGGGTACAATTAGAGATAGACAGTTCTGCTGTTCTGCTGCTGCTGCTGTTGCTGCTGCTGCCGTTGGGGGCCCCCATGGGGGCCCCCTGGGGGCCCCCCCCCCACAGGCGGAGACGGCTGAGGGGCCCCCATAGGGGGGCCCCCAGGGGGCCCCCCAGGGGGCCTCTCAGGGCCCCCCGCAGGGTATAAGCTCTACCTAAATAGTTTTTGTTTTT